AATTTCAAAACTCAACCCCATCATTTAATTTGTTTTTGATTGAAATTGAATATTACTTAAACTCTCTTAAATTAGCTTCCAATAAAAAAGGTTTATCATTGATTGAAGTTCATTCAGAAATGTTTAACGAATGAGCTGTCACAACTTTCAAGTACAAAGTTGTTATGAAGTCTGTCACATCCCCCCCTTTTTTTCTTTTTTATCCTTTATTTATTTATCCTTCTTATTTCATTGTGCTGTATATTGTTACTCTTATTTGCCTTGTATGTCTACTGTACAAACTGAACTGGAATGACTCACTGTTCGCTTTATAAGTTCAATAAAGTTTGGAAACAAAAAAAACCCTCTTCGGCCGCTCCCTTCTGCCGTATTTTGCGGTAAAATTGTGGGATATATGGGACCACGAAGCGTGCACCGGACCACGCTTGATATTTGGGGAAATCGACGGCGCATTTGGAGTATGCATTTGAAGCACACTTCGAATTGGGACAGCCGTCGTCACGTGGCGGTGACGTAACCGCACTTGAAATGCGTACTTCAAGCGTGCAGACCCTGAATTGGGACACAGCCGATGTGATGGGTTATCCTTGATGGAGATGAGTGTGACCTCTGACCCTCACTGACTCAAACACCTCCAAATTCTGACCGAGGTGCTTCCAGGCTTTTGGATTAGTGTTTAAATCTTGCTGGCAGTGATGCTGCCCCTTCAGCAGACAGCAGCAGAATAGATGCACTCTCTACCACAGGATGTTAGAAGATCTCCAGCATCTTGCTGCACACATTAAAGGATCTGAGCTTCCTTAGAAAGTAGAGTCTGCTCATCCCCTTCTTGTACACAGCATCACCGTTGGGCCTTCAGTCCAATCTGTCATTCAGGTGACTGTGGAAACCCAGTATTACTAACCACCACATCAGACAGGTTGGCCCACAGCCGTACAAACTGAGGCTTCTCAGACAGATAGTGAGGAATACAGGAGACAGCAGAATGGATCCATCCTGGGTTGTATCAGCAGCTCATGGTGTTGCTGTAGCAATGGCCTGGAGGATAATTTATTGGCATGGTTTGTGGCCCTTAGTATCAAATGAGCATTGCTTAAATGCCACAACCTGCCTGAGTACTGTTGGTGACCATGTCCACCCCTTTGGGGGATAGCACACCATGTCACAAAGCTCAGATAATCTGAGACTGGTTTTTTGAACATGACAATGAGTTCACTGTACTTAAACGGCCTCCACAATTACCAGATGTCAATCCAATTGAGCACCTTTGGGAGATGGTGACAAATCTGCAGGAACTGTGTGATGTTATGATGTCCACATGGGCCACAGTCTCTGAGGAAATGTTTTCAGCACCTCGTTGAATTGTTGCTACAAAGAATTCAATCAGTACTAACAAAGTGTACAAAGGTTACAAAGTGTTTTGAGTAAAAGCAGAATACTGGTACTGTCACACTGGTGCCTATCCCAGCTGTCTTAGGGCAAGAGGCAGGGTACACCCTGGACAGGTCGCCAGTGTGTCACAGGGCTAACACATAGACACAGATAACCAATCACACTCACGGGAAATTTAGTTTCCAGTTAACCTAACCCCACTAACTGCATGTCTTTGGATTGTGGGAGGAAGCCGGGGTACTCAGAGAAAACTCACGCAAACACAGGGAGAACATGCAAACTCCACACAGAAAGACCCCGGCCTGATGGTGGAACTGAACTCAGGACCTTCTTGCTGTGAGGCAACAGTGCTAACAACTGTGCCACCCTGCAAAATTTATTTATATTGCATAAATGCCAGAATAGTGGTGAGTGTCTAACATGAGGCACCAACTTTTACAGCAGGCTAGATTTTCTATAAGGACTCCAGTGATGTCCACCACCTCAGTTTGAAAACATGAATCAGTCCACTGTGCTAAAAATCAATTGCCTGGTTTCATTTTGAAGGAATATTCCGAAACTTTTATTTTTATTGTCGCCGAATATTAAATAGCTATAACCACACGCGCAGTTATGTTTTGACTTTTGAAAGTTCAAATCCAGCAATACTGATGTCTTTAAGATTTCTTCATCACACTGCAGATCATTACCGACATGAAACTACGGACGCCATAAAACTGGGACCATCCCTGATCTCTGTTATTTACTCGGGCTCGTCTGACATTACGGCAGCTGACGTAAACACAGCGCACGTGAGTGGCCGTTTTAGCAATAACCGTAAAAGCAAATCCCAAGTATTCTAAACAGCTAGCTGTCATTAGCTCAGCGGCTAACAAACAACTCATCACATCTCACTGGAACATCTCACGGCTCAACATTAAACTTCAGACAGGTGACAGTCATGTTGCCGCAGGTACTGATAACGTGCACTGCCTACAGTTCTTTTAATAATCGACATACCTTCACTACGAGAGAGAAAAGTCAACGTCTGTTTAAAGTAAAGCGCGATTGTTAGCGCGTCACAATGACGTGTAGAATGCGACGGACAACCATCCGCTGTAGGACCCGACTGTGTGTAACCATGCAGATGCCAGGCTGAAAGTAACAACAGGGAGTCTTTGCTATAAACCGCGTCTTGTTTAGATTGCCAACCCTGTAAAGACATTAAACGGTAAGTCATCAAAGTGTTTTGTTAAAGCTGAAGGCTGACGACGAAAGCTGAACACATCGTTAGTTGACAGTTGCGGATTTGATCGATCTTCACGTGTTCAAGTGCCACGCGCGGTGTTAGACAACAAAACAACATTACCGCTTTAACTTATTTTGGAAGGTAAGCTCTAAAATATTAATCGACAAAGCAAAATAAGTCAGTATAAATTTTCATTCGATTCCATTTTACAGTTATTAATGGTATCGAAATGTATAACAATAATACTTCGCATGAAACAGAGATGTCGTGTTTTGGTGGTGGTCCGAACTTCTGCCCAGAGTGTGGGAATGTTCTTCCTCTCCCAGGAATACCGGACGTAGTGTGCTGCCCCGGCTGCTCCTTTAGGATCCCTGTATCAGGTAAATTTCATATCAGAGTTTATGTGTGAGCATGAGCAGCAGAGATTTTGCTGCTGTCTCACTTTTTGTTTTTCTCATTTCGCTTCCATCTTGATATTCCTGTGATATTTATACAGCCTGTACAAATGAAACGGCAGAGCAGCTATCTGAGAGCTATCTGCGAGCTATCTGCTGTCCATCTTTGGATCATTTTAGTTTCTTGCAGCAAGTGATTGTATTTTTATAAGCTCAATATACAGTATTGTGGCAAACTGATTCACTCACTCATCCAAATCACTGAATTTGGTGTTTCAGTCACTTCCATGGTCACAGGTGAATAAAATCAAGCATCCAGGCATGCAGCCCGCCTCTACAAACATTTGTGAAAGTATGGGTCGCTCTCAGGAGCTCAGTGAGTTCCAGCATGGTAACGTGATAGGATTCCACTACATGTGGCCTTCAGATTAAATCAGAACAGTGTGTAAAGAGCTTCATGGGATGGGTTTCCGTGACCACCAGCTGCATCCAAGCCTTACATCACCAAATGCAATGTAAAGTGCTGGATGCAGTGGTGTAAAGCACGTGGACTCTAGAGCAGTGGAGACCTGTTCTCTGGATTGATGAATCACGCCTCTATTTCTGGCCATCCCATAGATGAGTCTGGGTTTGGTGGTAGCCAGGAGAGCGGTGTTTGTCTGAATGCATTGAGCCAAGTCTAAAGTTTGGTGGAGGGGGGGTTTATGGTGTGGGGTTGTTTTTAAGCATACTGCACTGATAACACATTAGTGAGTGATAAGTGCACAGATGATTTCTTCTCTGCTTATTCAGAGTTCTCAGGTCAGGAGATCTATTCTGCCGTGGTGTTTAACCCTGCGGAGCAGACGGCTGTGTCTCAGGATGAGGAGGACTCTGAAATGAAGGGTGCTGTGGTAAGTGCTGCCTGTTTGCTGCCTGCTGAGTGTACTGCATGATGCCAACAGCTCTATGTGCTACTAATAAGCTCTCTGCTTCCTGTAGATTGACAGGCGCTGCTCTCGTTGCAACAAAGAGGGTATGATTTACCATACCAGGCAGATGAGGTCTGCAGATGAAGGACAGACAGTCTTTTTCACCTGCACACACTGCAGGTAATCATCATGAGGTCACCATATGTTGCTGCTGTTGTGATTGTTTGCTCATCGTTTCATTTTGTCATTGTAGGTATCAAGAGAAGGAGGACTCCTAAGAAGAGGGTCCTTTGCATCTCCCCCCTCCTGCTTACTCAGCTATTGTTGAAGACTGCACAAAAACGAGTTTAAACAGAGCTTACTCTAACCTTTATTTTAAACTTGAGTTTGTACAGTTAGGATTGAACAACATTTAAGTTTATGTGACTGTTGTACAGCTGACCACGTCAATAAAACCTTATTAAAGCAGCACTCCTGTTTTTCTCTTTGGCTGCTTGGATGCACAGCACTGATATATAGTCGGCAGAAAGTTGTGTGTGAATAAACTCGAGCAGGATTTCAGCAACACCATATTCTTGTCCTGATGGAGCCCCCACTAATTCATGTAACTGAATCAGAACAGGTGAAGCAATATTGAAATGTATCAGCTTTATTTTGTATAGTTTTTCTTTTTTCTGCACTAAATAAACTTTGTATATTGTTTACGTGATCAAAACAAACAAATGTGTGTTTACAGCTAAATGTGTCCATATTTGATGCCTTTTAGGTTTCTAGTATTAGACCTCTGTCTATGAGCTGACACAGCTAACCTGGCCTGTTTGGCTGAAGGTTGCAGCAGATACAGGAATAATGTCCATAACCAAAGACATCAGTAACAACTCTGGCTGAGACCACTTAGGGCACTGATTGAAGGAATCAAGGGCGTAGATTTGGTTTTGGCGTTGGTGGGGACGGATGATTCAGCCACCGAACGCTGCCCTGTTTCCTTTTTTTCCCTTTTTGTCTTTGCTTCTTGATAAAAAAGGAGAAATATACTTGCCTACACATGCTATTCTACATGCTTTTAAACCATTTAAAATCACAATTCATAGTTTTATATGTGAATTATATAACGTTAAATTACTATTTTAAAAAAATGACTGACTAAGTATTTTAGACTTTAGTTTACTTCGGTCATATTTCATATAAATCAGGTATCATACAAACATAAAAATAGCTTCAAATAGAGTCATGACAATAAAAGAATATGACTTTAAGGGCTTAACATTACTTCAGTTACACCAACATCTCTGATACATCAGCACTAAGGGAACACTGAATGACCTGCTGGTTTTGTCCATAAAACTACTCATCTAAGATTACCACAGAGTAAAAGATCTCTCAGCAAAATTATCAATCAATCAATCTTTATTTATAAAGCACTTTTCATACAGAAAAAATGTAGCACAAAGTGCTTTACATAGTTAAAAGCAGCCCACCCCACCCTCCAACTCACTCCCCACACTCTCAATACACATATATCACCCCACCCCCACCCACACACCCACACACACACACACACGCGCACACTTAAAGAGTAAAAATTGGGCTGGGCTCGCATGAGCCAAGTGAGGAAACATTATAACAGAGAGCCGTCTGCACCGGGAGCCGGTCACAGACCGCAGCATCCGGGCTGGGCACACAGCCGGAGGGAAGCAAAGGAGCCCCCCAACCAGGCTGAGAGGACCCCCAGAGACCCAGCAGCCACGGTCAATAACAGCCCCGGTGCAGAGAGCGCCCTCCGAGGAAACACTGGAGATATGACGCAATATGATGTATACAGGGTAAAATGATAAAATAAATAAGAACAGGATACAATATAAATATAAATATAAATAGAGTAAGAAGATTAAAAAATGAATAAGAATAAAATCAAGAAATATTAGGTAAATCCTAAATTAATAATAGAATAACAGGATAGAATAAATAAGCATAAAAAATAAATAAACGCTAAGTAAAAGCTAAATTAAAAAGGTGGGTCTTGAGCCTGTTCTTAAAAACATGTACGTTCTCTGCGGCCCTGAGCTCCTCCGGCAGGCTGTTCCACAGACGAGGACCATACCACTGAAACGCTGCCTCTCCGTGAGTATGTGTCCTGACTTTAGGGACAATCAAAAGGCCAGTACCAGAGGACCTCAGGGTCCGCGAGGGTTCATATGGTAAAAGCAGATCTGAGAGATAAGAAGGCCCAAGACCATTAAGACATTTAAAAACCAATAAAAGAACTTTAAAATCGATCCTGAAACACACGGGGAGCCAGTGCAGCGATTCTAAAACGGTGTAATGTGGGCCCGCCCTCTGGTCTTCGTCAGCACACGAGCTGCCGAGTAGTAGTAAAATTATGCAACATTTTAGGCACTATTGCCTCGATCAAGTCAGTGAGCTGGGATTTTTTATTCTCTTTTTTTTTTTTTTTTTATTCTCAACATGAGCTACTGTTACAGCAACAGATATGGACTACACGCCCCACACAACAACTCAATGTCCACTATGTGAGGGAGACAAACACATGCCTGCTCCTCTCACTAACAGAGATAAACTGCTGCTGGCTTATTGGTTTTACATCTATACTGTCCAGTGTCTCCTGGTGGACATACAGCAGCATTGTTTAATCTCGTTTGAGTCATTGTGGAACTTAGCCATGTTTTTAGTCTTCTGAGAGCACTGAAGCTTCTTTCAGCCTCAGTACCTGCGTTTTATCCTCAGATTACAATTATTATTCTGTGCTTGATGTGCCTCACCTTTGGCCCTGGCTCCTCCCCTCTGACTGCACTAGGACATATTGCCACCTGATAAAATAACACATTGATTCGTGCCATATAAAAAGTGAGACATGTCAATTCAGATTCTTTGTCAAACATACACTAATGAATCAATTTACATCAGCAGCTGACAACAATCATGATAATAAATACTAGTTAATCTATAGCACCAAATCATCAGTCAGTCACCTGTGACCTCGCCTCTTCACCTCTGTCTGAGCTACAACATGGCAGAGCTGCCTCTGTCACCTGATAAATAACAGTGAGACATTCCACATACATGCAGTCACACATGTGCTTCAAATACAGTCATGAACCAACAAGTCATCCTCCAGTTTCACCTGTGACCTTGTGTCACCATCACTCTCTGAGCTTTGTGTTGGTTCTTCTGTCACCTGACAAATAGGACAAACATGACAATAAGAATAAAATGTGGAGCTGATTCAGTGTTTCTGTCAGTTTGTGCAGATCTTGACTCATCAGTGATGTTTCCAGGCTGAGTGCATTTTTGAAACAATTTGTGCAAACTGCACTACAAGGTGGATATTTGCAAAATCATGACGACCTCGTGATATTTTGTCTCAAAAATTAACCTTATGAATATGTCAGTACCATTAGGATGAAATTATTGTGTCACCAACATTTTAACGTTAGACATTCTAACAGCCTCTGTAAACTAATATCCTGGCTGCTCGAGGCTGCCGTTTTCTCTGACAGTTTCAATCAAAATTAGAAATGCTGCTCTGAG